TGGGACAGGCGATCCTGACCCACTGTGAGGTTTTAGCACCGTTCAAGCTCCTTCTTTTCTCTGGTAGAGGAACAAAAACAGCTGTTACGGGATCAGCCTGACCAGCCCCAGAACCCCAAGGTTTTAAGAATTGCCATCATCGGAGCGCCCAACGCTGGGAAGTCCACGCTCTCTAATCAGCTCTTGGGCAGAAAGGTAAAGCTGGGGTGGAGCAACAGTTTCAGGCTGCTAAATTGCTTTTGGACATGTTCTGGTTGTGTAACGTGTTTAATTTTTTACAGGTTTTCCCCGTCTCTAAGAAAGTGCACACGACCCGATGCAAAGCCCGGGGTATCATCACGTACGAGGACACACAACTGGTAAGCTTTCAGACTTGGTCTTGCCTGGAGCAGCCAGAAAGTGCAGGGTTATCTCATTTGTATCCCACGGGGTCACTTCTAATTGTGCAAATACAAGTTTTAGCTTGGCCACTAACTGCAGGCAAACTTACAAGATCTGTCTTTCCTCTTTCTAGATCATTCTGGACACACCTGGCCTCACTAGCCCCTTTAAAGCAAAAAGGTATCACCACTGTTGTGGGGAGAGTGCGGGGATCCTGCCCATTTAGGTTTGATAAAATCGGAGAGTGATTTCCCCTGTGCAGAGTTTGTAAAACAGGAGTGACAGGAATGTATATTTTTAGCCTTATTTTGGTCTCTGAGTCTTTTATTGTTGCAATTTCAGTAGCACGCAGAGCCTGTGGCATCCTGTGAGCCCTGTTATGTTTGATTCTGCATGTGTGCATGTAAGGAGGGATGTCACAGCCCATAAGGCAGCTTTGTGTGAGCTAGGATGATGGAAAACACTGGTTTTGCTCCCCTGTGATCAAGTGTCTGGTGTACTCGTTTGTATTGTCTTTCAGACATAAATTAGATGAAGCCATGCTGACAGACCCATGGAACAGCATGAAACATGCGGATTTAGGTGGGTATTCAAATTCTCCTGGATCAAGCCAAACCCTTTATATGCCACAGAAGTTTACAGCCGTATAGCTGTGGTACATGGGTGTTTACTGGGCAGCAAAGGCAGTCCCGGGAGTATGAACTAGGAGAGTGGAGGGAAGAGCAGTGAAAGAATTTAAAATACTGAGCTAAGGGGATAAGAATTGCTTTGTGCCAAGGGGAGGCGGCTTGGGTTAATAATTGGTCTTGGGTGTTGAGTTTTAGTATGTGTGATGTCATTAGGATGACAGGTATATGTTGTATTTTACTGTTTTATCAATTAGAAAGCTCCCTTTTTGTTCCATCTGTGTGCTCTCCTGTAGAAAAGAGAAGTAGCTGCGGGAGGGAAGTGACCATAGGCTGTAAAGAAGCTGAAAGTGAACATTTTGGAAAATGGAGGTGCATCATATTTCCCTCACTCTTTTCTGGCAGTTCTGGTTTTGGTGGATGTGTCGGATCACTGGACGCGAAACTCTCTGAGCAAGGAGGTGCTGAAGTGTCTTTCTCGCTTTCCCCAGATCCCCAGTGTCCTGGTTTTGAACAAGGTAAATGAGAAGCTGCTTCTTTCCGCTTTCTACAGTATGTTATGCTGGTGTCTTTAGACATTATCTGGCATCAGCAGCGATGTGTTTTCAGATCACTGAGTCTGGGTCTGTTAAAGGACACCAGTTTCCCCCTTTGCTCCAGAATGTTTAAGTCTGTATATATGTTGCATGCGCAAGCATCCCTGAGGCCATATGCTTCAGACTGGGGTTTAAATCAGCCTGGGAAGAGGAGCTGGTACCACAGGGGAATTGGCCAGCGAGAATCTCAGCAGAGCTGACAGAGAAAGTGTTGCTGTCAAGTTGACAGTGTTTGGACAAACTGTGCTGGAACTGTTGACGTGCTCTGGTTTGGCCTCTGGTCAGAAAACTGACCACTTCTGTTGCAGAAGCCTTGTCCTGCAACAGCTGCCTCCCCTGGGTGGTTTCTTCTGCCTCCTTCGGATCCAGGGCCCAGATGCCAACCTCACTTAGGATGAATTCCTGACACCTCTCTCTCTCACTTTAGGTGGATCGGCTAAAGAATAAGTTTATCCTGCTGGAACTAGTAATGGAGCTAACAGAGGGAATTGTAAATGGAAAGAAACTGGAAGCGACATCTGCATTTAAGCGTAATTCCAATTCTTCAGCAAAATCTCCTCTTCAAATCACGCTGGCTTCTCTACCTGAGAATAGGGCCCCCAAGTCTCACTGCCTGCAGGAAACGGGTCAAGCCCAGGAAGGCCCTAGCTTGGACAACAGCAGTGGTATGAGGGCTTCCGAGTCCAGTCTTGTCACAGAAGAAGCACAAGGGCCAAAGCGCTATGGACCCAGAGATCTAAAAAATATGAAAGGCTGGCCGTGCTTCCAGGAGATCTTCATGCTGGCAGCTCTCCATGGGGAGGAGGTGGATACGCTCAAGGTAACTGTGGTCTGAACTTCTGTTACACTTTGAGACTGGTGTGCTCTTACCCTTGTGGGACCCTGGTACTTCATACTGAGCTTCACCTCCGGTGAGGGAGTAGCAGAGCTGCTGTTCTTGGCCTGGGAGGGAAGTGTTGTCTTTCAACGTGGAGTATGTCTGCACTGTATCTCTGGAGTTTTCTGTACAGAACTCTTATTTGGGGCTCTCCGAGCAGCAGCTTGTTCATAATGATGAAGCCACCCAACACGTTACCTTTCAGCTACAAGAGATGCTGCAGGCTTTTGTAACTCATACAAACGGCTCTAGGGAGATGTGACCCTGGTTTGAGTTTGAGAAGCTTCCCTTTATCCTTTCCCCCCCCCTAACTGCAACCCTGACGCCTGACTAGCTGCAGCATCCTCGTAGCGATTCAGGGGTTGATGGCACTGCGAGAGTGGTACGTGACAGCTAATGGGTGTGATGTGTGTTTTGTGCTGGCAGCGGTACCTCCTGATGCAAGCCAAGCCAGGCCCTTGGGAATTTCACAGCAGGGTCTTGACCAGCCAGTCACCTCAAGAGATCTGTGATAATATCATCAGGGAGAAGCTACTGGAGTACCTGCCACTGGAAGTGCCCTACGGTGTGGTTCAGGTGGGAAGCCTGTGCATGCAGACTTGCTTTTGAGCTGTTTTATTGCAAATAATCAGACTATGCGATGAGAATCCTTTTGTTTGAATCTGTGAAATCTGCCAGACTCTTTACAGGTGCTGTGGGGTGACTTGGGACTTGCATGTCGGGGGCTGTGAGATCCTTTCTGTGTTTGAAGGGGGTCACCCTTGCGTGCTGGTGTCAGGAAGCTGAGCTGGTGTCTCTGAGGGAGTGGCGTTTACGGTTCCTGAGGCGCTTTGCCGAATTGCTGAGTAGGCGCTTGCTGTTGCAGGTGACAGAGGTGTGGGAGGAAGGACCGAGTGGGGAGCTCCTGATCGCACAGAACCTCTTGGTCCCAAGGAAATCTCATATGGTGAGTAACAGAAGAGAGATGGGGCCCTGGGGAGCATGAAGAGAGGCTCCCTAGGTCCAGTGTGTGTGTGTCCTTGCTGTCATCCCCTCTCCCTCAGCTGTGGGGTCTCTGTTGGGAAGAGCCAGGTGCCCGATGCAGTCATAGGCTGTTCCATAACAGCTCACACATTTCTGAAGTTGCTCGTGGTTTGATCTCGGGATTTCTCTAACTGCTATGTCCCCTTTAAATGCTCCTGTGGCTGCACTGTTGTTTTCTTGGGTGATTCCTCCCTGCAGTTAAGCAATGTGAGGATGAGTATGCTGATCTTCTCTCTGGGTTTTAATACAGATGATGTTGATTGGAAGAGGAGGTACGGTTATCAGCAGGATTGCTCAGGAAGCTGGCCAGGACCTGATGAACGTTTTCCTGTGTGATGTCCACTTGAAGCTCAAAGTGGAGATGAAGAGTTGAGCTCTTTGCGTGTGTTTTAACAGCCCTTGAGCTCTCTGGTCATGCAGAAAAACTGGTCCCGTCTTCCCCTGCGGGTATCTTGGCACCTTTGTTCAATCTAGAAACAGAGGATGATGGAATCAATGTAGCAGGCTGAAGTAGAATATATTATTCTTTCAGGGAATGGCCCGAACTGAAATAAAATCTTTAGATCTTCTACAGCAGTTTGTGAAAGCTGGGGACAGATGTCAGAGAACCAGCTGCACGTGTGATTCTAGTACTGTGTTTACAGAGCTGTCACCCACTTTTGGGCTATGTCCTGTGTCCTTGCTGTCAAGTGTTTGTGTCTGGAAGTTCAGGAGCACCTCCTGTCTTTTAGCAGACAAAGGGTTCCAGTGAAGGATTATCAGCAGATGTTTATCATCTCTTCTGGAGGCTGAATCACTCTAGCAGTGGTCATGTATGAGGAAGAGGCTACCCCAGCCTCCGCAGTGGTCTCATGTCGGCTTTGCTCCCTGCACTAAGTTCATGAATGTGAGCATATGATCGTGTA